CAGTGGTGCCACGTGGTATGCCAAACATTGGTGATAGTTCTGGAACTGAACGTCCGGAGGCTCTTGGGAAGCATGTGATGAGCCTTCCTACTTTGGCAAACTACACACCAAGCAATCCGACGGCACTAGGTGATTGGATCGCAATGATCGAGCCAATGTTGTCTTCGCTGACAGATACAGGAAGAGTGTGGCGGCAATGCGTCTATACAAAGGCGTATCAGGCGTATGCCAAATGGTTGAGCGTTTCTCCTCTGGAAAGGTTGGGCATCAAGGCTGAGCTGGAAGGGCTCAAGGTGGTTCGAACTGTGCATGTTTTGTTGGAGCAGAGAGCGGTGTCTTTGCTGCTGCAGGCGATTCCGGAGAGATTGAAGACCGAGATCGTTTCCACTCGAATGTTGGGGTCAGTGATGATATTTTACAAATTGCTGACGGTCTACCAACCAGGTGGAGCAAATGAGCGCAGCACAATGTTGAACTTCTTGGTGCAACCGTCTTCGGCAACCTCGATCTCAGAGGCCATTAAGGGAGTGCGTCAATGGGCGCAATGGCGTTCCCGATTAAGGGAGCTGCGAGCATCCGAGCCGGACGCTACCTTGCTTATCAAGGGATTGGATGCTTTATCATCCGCGTTGCTGGCAAAACACCCTACGGTTCATTTCAGAGTGGCATCCTTTCGGGAGAAATTGGGGGTGGACTACTCGCCGACCTCTGAAACTGCGACACAACTAGCTGAAATGTTACAGGCAGAGTTTGAACTGCTATTGCATAGCGCTGGTGATCCAGAGGTGAAGCAGGACTCGGACGCCAAGAAAAGGGCAAGGTTAAACAAGGCCCAAAAGGGAACTGGTGACGAGACAGAGGAGGGTGACAAAGGCAAAGGGAAAGGGAAAAGGTACAGCGGTGATGGTGAACGTCCATTCTGTTGGATATATGGGAAGACAGAAGCAGGCTGCAAGTTCGGATCACGCTGCAAATTTCGCCATGACAAGGCCTCCCTGGAGCGTGGAAGATGTTTTGAATGTGGCGCCGTTGGCCACCTACAGCCGCAGTGTCCATACAAAGATGGTGCAAGTTCCAATGTGGACTCAAATCCTGAAAGGAATAGATCTAAAGGGAATTCTCCCAAAGGGGGAAAGGGCGGCAAAGGTGCAAAATGGGGAAATGCCAAAAAGGCAGAGGTGGCTGAAGGGGGAGATGAGACAGCTAATGTGGGATTGGAGAAAGGTTCTGCAAGTCCCTCATCACCATCAACACCCAATCAGGTCCTTGCTGAAGCGTTAGAGGTGCTGAAATCTATGAAACTGTCATCAGCGCAGTCAGCATCAAGCGGGGATCCCAGTGTTCGAATGTTATGTGGCTCTGGGTTGTTTCAGCAGGAAGGGAGAGTGGCGTTGGTGGATACAGCTGCTACGCATCTTGCGCGAACGCTTTTTCCATGGGAATGTTTACCCGACACTACTGTTATGGTGCAAAGCGCGCTTGGTGGTGTGACAATGAGGATTACAGAGAAAGGGACATTGATCAGGGAAGACAATGGGCCTCTGATTATCCCTCTCTGGTTGATTTTGGAGTTTGGGGCGAACCTCACCGTGATCAATGGGATGTGTCACGTGAGTGCAAAATCTTCGCTGGACCAGCTCTTGTGGTTTGAACATGGCTGTTTGGTTATGGATTACAAAACAGCTGAAAAGATGGTTTTGCATGCTGAAAGGCAGCGTGCATCTTGGTCCCATTCTCAATGGAGGAATGGAAGGGCGGACTGTGGAGTCGGTTCGTCTGATGCCACGTTGTTGCCGAAGCAGGGAGAAGGCCGAGGAGTATGCGTTCTACATGTGGCCAGGGTTTCTGACACCAATGAGTGTTCGGGAATGGGCATGTTGGACTCGGGAGCATCACATCCTCTCAGATCACTTCGTCCTGGTGAACAGCTTCCGCAGCAAAAGGTGTTGGTGTCTTTAGCTGTTGGATCTCGGGAGATGTGTATTACCCCAGGTGGGACCCTGGTAACTCCTGAAATGGTAGATCCACTAGTGCCAATTGGCAAAGCGAGCGCTTTGGTTGGTCTCAGAGTTCAGTGGCGTGGTGGCAAGTGCACAGCCTCACATCCTGTTCTGGGGGAACTTCGCGTTCGAGATCTGAATGGGTGCCCTTGTTTGGAAAAGGAGGTGGCGCTTCAGATCATTGATGAAATGGATTGGTGTTCACCAAAGCAAGCATTGAAGGTGGCACGTATGGTTCAAGGGTGTCCGAATACGGACAATGAGGTGGCCGTAAAAGCGTCGTTGCAAAGCGCAGCGCGGACAGCGTCAGCGAACGAGGAGGAGTTCGTTCAGGCATGTTGGCGATTTCTTCGGTGGTATTATGGGGATATACCAGAAAATACGCTGATGGAGCTGTTGCCACGTGGAGATATTGCGGCGTTGCCTTTCAACCGTCATAAAAGGAGACGGCTGGCACGAGCAAAAAGGGTGGTGGTACACCTATTTTCAGGAAAACAAAAATGGCATTTTCCCAGTCGGGATGTGGAGGTACTGGAGCTGGATTTGAAGAAAGGCGGGGACCTACATAATTCGAGCGTCTGGAAGTATCTTCTGCATCTGGCGGCTGAAGGAAAGGTGGTTGCTGTGGTTGGAGGACCTCCATGCAGGACAGTGTCAAGGTTGAGAGGTGAAGACGGTGGTCCACCTGTATTACGCCGGCGCTGTGGGCCTGAACGGTTGGGATTAAAAAGTCTTCCTTGGCCACATCAAGAATTAGCTCAAAAAGATGGTGTTTTACTTCTGAAGATGCTTTTCCTATATGACGTGGCGGTGCATTCAAGGTGTGGAACTGCTGAAGTCATCAATGGAAGTTCTGTCTTCTTTGGCATGGAAAGTCCTGGGGACCCTGAACTCATAGGGAAAGATTTCTCTCAGAACGGCAAAACGGTCTTGAGTGCTGAGGATCTGGTGGATGGATCTCAGAAAGGGTTCTCAAGTCCTACCTTCTGGAGTTGGCCAGAGGTAAAAAGGTTTTGCGAGCGTTATGGAATGTACGCTGCACATTTTGATCAAGGAGCATTGGGACATGCTCTGGTGAAGCCTACGACTTTCCTGGTGTCTGATATGGAACTATGGGAATCGTTGGAACAGGTTCGCGTGGTTGTTCCGTGGTCAGCTACATTCGCTTCTACCCTGGAAGAGCGTATTGGACAATCCTCCATATGGGCGAGATGGGCGTTCGGATTGGTAAAAAGAATACGTCACAGGTTGGCACAATGGTTGCAGGAGAGCGATGCTGAACGGGAAACTATGGTGTCAAAAAAGGAAGAACGAGAGGGAACGTTACGGAGGTTAACAGCTGAGGAGCGAGCTTTCCGTGACCATTGCCTAAGGGGGCATATTCCTTTCAGACGTGATTGTCAAATTTGTGTGTCTGCCGCTGGAAAAGAGCGTCGCCATTTGAGGCGGAAGCATGGGGATGCTTACACTTTATCATTGGACTTGGCGGGTCCATACAAGTGTTCAAAGGATGCTCACCAGCAGAAGCCACGACACGCTGTTATTGGTGTGTATCAGTTTCCAATGTTGGATCCCAATGTGGGTCGCCCTCCAGAAAAGGAGGAAGATGCGGATGAGGTGGAAGATCAGGTGGCAGATGAAGGTGCTGGTGTCGGAGAATGGTTAGGCGATGCAGTCGCAAACTTCGAGGAGGAAGACTCTGCGCCGGTGGAACCTGCGCCAGTTCTGGAGGCAGAGGTGTTGAAAATCCAAGCTTCTGAAAAATCCTGGAAGGAACTGAAGGACCACTTGACCCAGCCTGTCCGTATGATCAACTTCGTTATGGTGGAGCCGATTGTGGACAAACAACAGACAACTGTTTTATCGGCTGTTCAAAGGATGATGGTGCGCTTGCAAAGACATGGGTATCCGGTGTTGAGAATCCATTCAGATCGAGCGGGGGAGTTTGTCAATGCACGCTTCCGGTCCTTTTGTGAAACTCGTCTGATATATAGGACCACTGGTGATCCTGGAGTCCCGCAAACAAATGGGCGCGCTGAAGCATGTGTGGGTTTATTCAAACGTGGTGTGAGGTCGCTCTTAAAGGAGGCGCGACTCGGGCCGGCGTACTGGGCACTGGCTGCTCGCCATTGGTCAATGTTACGGTGGCATAAAGCTGAAAGGGAGTTGGGGTTAAACCCGAAAGCATTGCATCCCTTTGGTGCTCAGATTCAAGTCAAACGTCGTCCGTGGGAGTTGCTGGGTCCGGATGGAACAAAGAAAGGTCGGCAATGGGTCGATCGTACGCAGCCCGCGCTTCTTTTGGGTCCATGTGATGACCTACCGGGCGGTTATTGGGTGGAAGCTCAAGGGACTGCGAAAGATCCGGATGAACTGGTGTTATTTCCCTGCACTACGATTTTTTCCAATATAAAGGAACCGCCTGAATTGAAGCTGGAAGGGGTGGTAGAAGAACAGGAGCCTTCTCCTCCAGAGCATCGTCTCAAGGGGAAAAAACCGGCGCTTCGGTTCGCTGATGAGGAAGGTCCTCCTTTACCTCCGCCTCGCGATCCTCCAGTTCGCCATCGGTTGGTGGCAAAAAGCCCAGCCTCTTCACTGCGTGGTCATGTGGGCTCCTTGCGCTTGCTTCGCAAGCGGGGGGAGAGTCCGCCCTTAGAAATTTTCGAGGATGACATGCAGGGTCTGGGGGAGCTGGAAGAAAATGCAGATGTTGAGGACAATGTTCCTGGTGATGAGTATTGGCCGACATGCTGTTCTCCTCATGAAAGTTGTTTGAGTGCAAACTCAACTTAGAGATGCAAGACGCACTTTTTACGCAGTGCTTGAGCCAAAGTTCAAGGTTGAAGAAAAGCTTTTGCCTACACGTCTACTGGAGGAATGTTCTACCTGTGCTCTTTGTACATGTATACTGCAAAACAACTCCCCCCTCATTCTGCACAGTAGCGTGCGGCGAGCAACACACACGGAAAGCAAGTCTGCAGGGACTGCACGCGGGGATTCTTAGCTGGTCGCGGTGTCGCGAACGCAGAGCAGTTGAAGTACGCGTGCCCACTGCTGTGGGGTGTTTACTTTGGTGAGTCCGTCTGCAGCTTGCAGATCTGTGGGAGTAAATTCAGGCGTCATGCCTTGCTTGATGGTTTCGGCGAGAGATGCAACATTGATTCTGTGCGTTCTACTGGCGTGACGAAGTTTTGCTGAGTAGCCAGAGTGAAGGATGGACAGTGTTGCTTCGTTGTCTTCCTTCAGTTTGAGGAGAACCTCTCGTTGGCACAGAGCACTTAGGAAGTCCAAGAGGGGCTGCGCTTCGCCGTACACAGCGGAGCTCATCGATATGATCTCGGCTTCGGTTGTTGACCGAGCAACAGACGATTGCCTACGGCTCTGCCAGGCGATCGGCCAGCGGGCGTCGCCAGAAACAAGCATTATGATCATACCGGACGTGCTGCGTGCTGTGTGTACGCATGAGGCAAGGTCAGCATCCGCATAGACATGAAGCTCAACTTCGCTATGCGGTCCAGCTTGGCACAACATGCGGTAGTGCTGAGTATGAAAGACGTATGAAACAAGACGGTGTAGATGAACATCTTCTGCTCGAGACCAAACTGTCACTCGGGAGGCTAGTCGCCCAACAGCGAACGCCAAGTCAGGACGACAAAGGCGCGCCAGCCATAGCGCTTTCATGAGCACCCGCGTTGCTTGTGGTTGAAGCGTTCCGGGCTGATCAAACATCTCATCAGGCAGACTGTTGTCAGAGATATGGGGCGTCCCTACGCGACGAAAGGAGGAAACGTCAACACCAGCAACCTCGCTGTAGAGGTCAACTAACTGCTTTGCGTATCCTTGCATACACATCGTGAGGCTGGGGAAAGCAAGATCCGTCGCCACTGCGTGCGTCCTGCCAAGGATCAGCGCAGAGCGTTCAGCAGTCAACTCTTGCGGTGGCTCAGTTTTTACGACTTCGCAAAAACTTGCCCAGAATTTGCGGTGCAGATGTCTGGGCCCACTTAACGTCAGGTCGTCTACATAGATGTTTAGTACCAACTTACCCTCTTCGAAGGTGAAGATGAAGTTTGACGGGAAGCCCGCCATCTCTACGCCGTTTAGGCGCTTGATGCGGACTTCAAGATATACTGCTGCCACAGGCGACCAGCCTGTGGGTGGCCGTAAAGTGATTTCCTCAAGCGAACCGCTACTCTTTTGAAGCGTCGTGACCAGTCTTGCAACCAAAGTTCCGGAGGTAAAATTACGTAAGTAAGTTCACCTTCTGGCAGAGAAGATTGCAAGAATGCTTGGACTGCGTCTGCAGTGGTGGTTGTATGGCCTTCCTGCGCGCCCCACCAAAGCGTGACGTTGAGGGCGGTTAGCGTGGTCGGAGTGGTGGATACTTCGTTAAAGAAGACTGCGTCACCATCCTGCGTGTGCACTCTGTCGCCTCGGTAGACGATGCGCCCCTTGAATTTGTGGTGGCTGGGGTCAAGTTCTATGTGCTTGACCCCACACAACACCATTAGATCTGCGATCTTTATGTCTATCCCAAGAGTTCGCGCCTGGGATTTGAGCTCGGCGGGGTCACACGCTGTTGCGTCGTCCCACGTCTGGTTGCGTCGCAAGCCTTCGGCCTCGTCTCGGACGGCCTTCATGGCCGCAGCATTGCTCTGCCACTCTCGGCGTGTGAGCGACATGGTCACCAACCCTAAATGACGATCCAGGCCGCTCAGCGATGCATGGTCTACGTCACTTGGATCTGGTTTACAACCTAACGCAGGGACTTGTGACTGGAAGAACTGTCTGGGAAACAACGCCTCGATTACAGAATTGACGAAAGGGACGGTGTAGTACGCAGTTGCTGCAGCGTTGCCACCTTCAGCTGACTCATGTTCATCAGGACAGTGCGTGCACTGATACTGCGCGAAAACCTCGACGACGCGACGACAGTTGGTAGCCAGCATCCACGGTTTTCTGATGGGTTTGTTTCTCTGGCCTTTGAGGCCCAACATGCATCCATCGAACCGCACAGTGTACAAGCAGTGACGCCTGAGGAACTGCTGCAACTGCGGTAACCTCCAACCCTTGCAGTGCTCGGGCCACTCAAAGACTAAGCGGCCGTGATGTAGAACCACGTACTCGGCAACTTGTAAGGCAAGTTCCAGCATGTACTGTGATCTGTCCTGCTGCGCTTGCAAGTTTGAGGTAAAAGCCTCACCCAGGCGGTGCAAGTTGAGCTCTTGCATCGCGGACCAGGGACTGCAAGGCAGCGACACCCACAAATCAGCTCCATGCTGAGCCTTAAGTTGCTCCACTACTTGCAAGACGTGCGTTGGATTGCTGAGGTCAACCGTTTGTTCGGTGAGTCGCAAGACTTTTAGACCAAACTGGGGAAGTTGTTGACCGATGAGGGACTCAGGGTCGCAAGCATACTCAACAAGGGTTCCGAGTCCAGGCAGGTCAGTGGCAATCTTTCGTACCCTACCAAGCTTCTCCCAAGGATCGCTCGCTGGCTGCCCTACTACCTCGAAGACAGGCTCAGTGCTGGATCCCCCAATGCGAGGGCCTGCAGGATCGGAACCACGGGCGGCAGCTGCAGTCTCGTCACTTCGCAGATCGTCGCGAGGAGGCGCGAACGGACCTGGATGAGGAGGACTCTCTGGCACTGCCTCAGGGGCAGATGCCGGAGTGACAAGCTTAGCCTTCTCCCTGGCTTCCCGCTCTGCTTTGATGAGGGCGTCGAACCTGCGTCTGCAGGTAGGATTGTGACGGGCAGCGTCGAAGCTGCATGCTTTGCATCCATCTGTTGGCCCAAACTTGATGATTCGATCAAGTGTGATATACTCAGCCCTCTTTGACGTTGGAAGAATGATAGGCCCTTCTGAAAACGGAATTGAGATAGCTGGTATGTCCTCAAGCCTTTCGGTCGAAAATTTTGCCAGTGAATCTTCTTGCGCGGCATGTATGGGCAGTTTGCAGGGGCCATCAACGACTACCTCCTCTTGAGGCAGGGCGATAAGGCTCTGGAAACCAGACGCTCTGGTCTTTAGTTTCTCATAGTCCAGCACAAGTACTACCCCCCTGTATCTGCAACCATAGTCAAGTCGCCATCCAGCAAATATTCCAGGCAAGCAAGATCCAGCAAACTTAGGAATCTTATCCTTATCAGCAACCCGGTAAAAGACCAATTGACCAAGTAACCATTTTGGGCCGGTGAATGCTTCGCCAGAAATGGCCTCGAATCTGGTGGGCTTTGCAGCCTCTTCGACTTCGTCGGCGTTTTCAGGCTGCGCACGGGACAGCGCGAGAGACACAGACACATACTGACAAGTGACGGTCCATAGCTCTGGGAACATGGTGAAGCCAGCAGCTATATGAGTCGCTCTGACAGCCTCTTGGTATGTGCGTACGTCTCTTTCAAGACTCGCGTTGTGCGGGAAGTAGTTTTCAAGCGATGTTTCCAAGAGAATACCGAGTTCAGCCGCCGCTGTTTCGAACTCTTTGGCGTTGTCTGCTTTGCATACGATGGTTTTTGTAGCAGCGCGAGGTCCGAGGAACTTACGAATCTGCGCTGCAACCTTGGCAGAGTCACGGGACGTGACAGGCGTGCCCTGGAGAAACCCGGAAAATTCATCCCGGATGACTAGTACGTAATGCTCAGCGGTGGGACGTTTAGGTGTGAGTTCTGCAGACCGACTGACAACGATGAAATCGACGGCGATCCGCTCACCGAAAGACGTTACAGGATCAAGTCCCCTATCAGCAAGAGGATCCTCGCGGTAGCGGACAATGCGCTTGCGATAACATTTTGCAATCTTACAAGCTGGGCAGTGCAAGCTTTTAGGGAAATGCGCCAACCTATGCTCAACCGACCGAGCTCGCTTCAGTTCCTCAGACATCTCGTCTACACCTCCTTCGGAGTCTGCATCAGATGGATGATCTGTGGGCTCAGGTGGCGCTCTGACAGGTGGCGCGTCGCCTAAAGCGAGCGGCGCAGGAGCAGGTACTGATGAAGCACTTGCGGCTAAACCAGGAACTACTTGGATCCTTTCCTTGAAGATGGGAACGTTTTCCTCAATTCTGTGAGCATACGTGCGTTCAGACTCATCACACGAGACCTGTATCGATTCCGCCGACGATGCAAAGTATGGCAAGCAACCGGGCAACCACACAAAGGGTCTTTGGTTTTGTTCGACAATTTCACCAAGCGATCGTACTAGCGGGCAACTCTTCAACATGTATGTGTTGCTGTGGCCAAACATGTCGCCCTCAAGTCCAACGGTCACGTTGCCTGAGCGACGTCCACCACCAGTAGCGAACTCTATGGGGTCTGCTGACGTGGTGAGGTTGTCATGAACGAGCTCAGCAGGTATACCAGCGGAGATGAGTGCCTCGGTGCTCCCTAAACCACGGCCAGCACCAGAGTCTGCAATCCACTCTACTTCGTAGGTGGCCGGCGCGATGACGGACGATTGCAGGGCAGGAGCGGTGACAGTTGCAGGTAAGGCATACTGCGTCACAGGACTAACGAGGGCAAGAACTCTGGTGATGGCACGCAGCGGCGCGGTGCACGCGCGCACGACTGCGGAGAAGATCGGCGTTGAGGATGCCGACGGGACTGAAGCAAATGCAACGGCAGCTGCAGTGGTCTTTGACGGCGCCTTTGGCACAGCTCCTCCCTTGGCCTGAGGTTTGTCCTTGGCTTTGGGCGGGGCAGCTTCAGGTATGTCATGCGAAAATGGGCAGTTTTCCCCCCTGGTGCATGACCCCGTGGGATAAAACAAGCAAGGTGCTTTGTACTTTGCCTTAGGGGCAGCCTTCGGTTGCTCCTTGTCCTTCCCTAGACCTTTGGCCTTTTTGTCACCTTTGCCCTCGCCTTTGGCAGCACCCTTTGGTGGCTTCTTGGGCGGCGGTTGTCTAGGCCCTGGTTGTCCTGGAACTTCCGGCTTTGTCGGAGGAGGTGCCTTTGGCACCGCAGCAGCCTTGGCAGCTGCAGGCTTTGCGAATGGAATCTTGGTTGGCATCTTCCCTTAACTCGTCTAAGTACTCCCCAAACCTACGCCAAAGCCACGCGAAGGATCTGCGCTTTGAGGTCAGCGCTGAGTCACGGATCCTGTCTATGTGCCGTCTCATCCCATTGCACCTTTTCAGGCGCTCGTACAGGAACACAAACTTTGTCTGCTCAGACGGCTGCGAATCCGGAGGGATGCTGTTGAGGATGTACTCCACTTTGTGGAAGAAAGCTCGCAAGTCTGCTTGGCTGAAGGAGTCAAGCGGTAACTCCAGGAGAGCCTGCTGTGTCAGGTTCGCCCCTCTCATGCGGTCTAACGCGAAGGATTTTGCAACTTCGTGGAGCATCATCCTGCCGCGAAGCGGGACAGAAAGGATCTGGGTTTTCTCAAGGTAGGACTGGAAGCGAAGCCCGATCTCGCCATGCATGTGTTTTGGCTCGCCAAGTTGACCCGCGATCCACGCGTCTAGACGCGGCAGACCACCTGATGACGACTCCAGGGCAGTTTGCAACACAAGCGTCGAAGGTTGAAAGGCTTCCTGTATCCACCTCATGATAACACCATTTCCAGTTCGGTCAAGAGAAGCTAGCTTTGCAATCAGGGAGTTCTTCCAACCCCTGAAACTGGCAGCATCAGTGGGGAGCGTCGGGATGGTCACTCCCGAAAGGTCTTTGTTTTTATAGACTTGGTCTTCGCTGGGCATGGCTCCGGCAGCCGCGCTGGAGCTCGCGGGCGGCGAGCCTCCAGGACTGGCAGAAGCACCGGCACCTAGACCAAAGTCGCGGTCATCGTCATCTTCGTCATCATCGGCGTCGTCGTCGTCGTCGTCGTCGTCGTCGTCATCGTCATCATCGGGGTCGCCTGACGCGAACGCCCGAGAGGCATGAGTGGAAGCGGCAGGCGTTGCGCCGATGACGGACTGCTGTGATGATCTCGCAACTTGCGCTGAGAGCACGTTGATTTGCTGTTGCATGGATTGCATGGCCTCACCTACTTGCTGCGTCATTGTGACTACAGCTTCGTGCATCTTATCCCTACTCTGACGGAGCTCCTCTCGCAGCTCATCTCGCAGTTCTGACGCAACAGAGCCCTGGGACTCTGCATGAGAGGCTTGCGATGGAGAATGAACCGACGCAGGAGGCATAGGCAGCACAGGGGGTCTACAGGCAGTTGGCGAGGCATGTTCCGCGCCATTGTTGGCTTGCATGCGAGCGTTTTCGCGCGACAAGTGGTCAATCATCTCATTTCTTTGTTGTAGCTGTTGCCTAAGCATCTCAACTTCGCGGTTTGCTTGTAAAACAGCGTCCCTAGCATGCAGCGCGTATTCACTGGCTTGGCTTTGCGTGTTCGCTACAACGCGCTGGGCTTGCGCCTCCACCTCTTGGACATGCCTTTGGGCCTGAGTCTCAACGTTTTGCGCGTGTAACTGCGCCTGACCCTGCACGCGCTCAACTTCAAGCTGTGCCTGGCCTTGCACATGTTGCACAACGCGGCGTGCCTCATCTGCGACACGCTGAGCATCAACATCAACATCAACATGCAAATGCTGGTGAAGCTCCTGATGCAACTCCTGATGCTTAACCAGATTGACACTCGGCACTGAGTGAAAGCCTGAGGATGAGCAAGGTCCACTTGCTGGAGCTGGGGTTCCTGGGGATGGGGACGCCTCACGACGCACGCATGCGTACGGTGGGGCCAAGGCAGCGGGAGCAAGTGCCAACCTCTCAACACTGCTAGATCTACTGCCCTGTCTCTTTGCGTTGTGTACCTTTATCACCCTTTTCCCAGGACCCTGTGAGCTTGAAGACTCAGAACGTGCGGATTGGCCTACCGCAGCGGGAAGAGCCACCATGCGCGAATCCTCAGCACTGGCACTACTTGTGAACTGCAAGGAAGATTCTTCACTCGTGTCAGGCGGGGAAAACGCCATATGAACGAGCTCAAAAGGCTTATCCGAGCAAGTCTGGGGCTGAAAGTAGATTCAACGTTGTGAATGCCTGGAAAACACTAGGCAAATGTGGGGATTATTGGTGTATTTCTGCTGTCGCTTAGCGAACGAGCAAATAGGCACCAAAGCTCAACCCTCAGCACGCGTGTTCGGGTGCCTTGAATGGGTTTAGGATGTAGGGAATTGCGCGAAACGTGATTTTGGGTAGGTTTTTCCTAGGGCCAAGTCTACTCAACCAAAGAATTTGGGAGGACTATGGGCACGAGAAACTCAGTGGGTGGTGTTCTGGGTTTCACTGCCGTCGCACTTGCGAACGAGCAGTGTGTGAAGCAGCACAGCGCTCTTTACTGGGCCAAGCTGTTCAGCCAAGACCTGACTCGCGGCCACAACTGCGTCAGATACAGATGTGGGGTGACAAGGAAGGGCTTGAAACCGTAGGTCTCACACTCGGAGGTGATGTCGTCCCTATCGTCAAGCAATCCAACGTGGTCGAACCCTTCTGCCTGAGCACAAGCCTGCAGATGCTTAGCCTTGCCAAGAGGACCGGTGGGTTGATCAGTGAACTCCGCGCGGATCGGCTGAACGAGCTCCCTTCGCAAAGTCCCTCGAGTCTCGACCCTTCGCTTGTGGCCGCAGTAGGATAAGATCACAAGCTCTAGTGCGATGTTGGGATTATGATACGCTTGCAGATCACGCAGAAATGAGCGCGTGTCAGCCCAGCACTTGTCCAACACTTGGTGGAAGTCAATCGCCAGTAGGACGCGTTGGGGCTGATGGCCCAGCAAGCGCGATGGAGATCGGGACCTGTGCAAGGAGGACGACGACCGCAGGCGTACCTTGGCACGAGGTGGAGTAGGGGGTCTGTTCCTCAGATTGGTTCTTACTGGACCTTGCAGAAACTCAGGAGCGTTGGTTCTTGCGAGACAAGGGTCCTCAGGAGCTTGCGATGGCTGTGGCCACGCGCTCACGGCAACACCAGCAACGGGGTCCGGGTCAAACAAAGCTGCGCGGAGGTCTTCCTCAATACCCAAATGATCAGCGAAAGCCCTCGAGTCCTCGAAATCCCACAGTTCGCGGCCCTTGGAGGCTTCGACAGCACGAGTGCAGAAGTGTAGGATACGGAGCTGAAGCTCGGAAGGATCGCGCAGCTGTGCAATTGTGTCTCGCTCGCTGGTAAATGTCCACAAGACCTCACGTCTGTGGTCGCGACGGCCACTTTTGCCGCCGCGCTGGCGACGCCCACTCCCAGAATCCGTGATTACAACAACGCAGGACCTAGGCAGTAGACTGGGCCCAACGCTAACTCGAGCCAGCTCTGAGTCGAGACGTGACAAGAGGCGGGAGGCTATCCCACACTTAGGTCGCGGCGCGCGATCACTAAGTCAGTACCCGGAAATCTGAGGTCGGAGCGTTTGGTTTGTCGAGCACGGTGTCTTTGCAGCAAAGTTAATCTGAGTGGACGTCACAAGCAGTTTGGAAGGTTGTGTTGGGCAGTGGGAGCAATCCAGAATGCGGGCTCTTACCACTTCCACTTCGGGTCACACAGTGTTGCACGCCTAGGTCGCAGGATGCGAGCGCTAGGCTTTCGGAGATTCAGGTATGGAGGCAAGACTTGTCGTTCACCAAGATACTGTGCTACCTAGGTCGCAGGACGCGATCGCTAGGATACAGACAGCAGTTGGGGTTGTTTGGGAGTGAGGCAAGGAGGCAGCAATGGCTCAGGTTGCTACCTACGGCCGAACTCTCACCAGATACGGAAGGAAGTTTAGGATGTGAAGGCCGCAGCTCGTACCCCGGAGGGTACGGCTGATAACCAGTTGTTTGAGTGCAAACTCAACTTAGAGATGCAAGACGCACTTTTTACGCAGTGCTTGAGCCAAAGTTCAAGGTTGAAGAAAAGCTTTTGCCTACACGTCTACTGGAGGAATGTTCTACCTGTGCTCTTTGTACATGTATACTGCAAAACAACTATGAAGATGCTTATTTGGTCTGCAAAAGTGAGACTGCCGAGGATGGAACACAGTTGGAAAAAGAAGAACAAAAAGCCAAGTCAATGTATGAAAGGTCTATGTACGATTACGTGGACTGTGAGGAGTTTTTGGAAGGGATTGTATACCCAAAGAGGGTGAATCGGAGAGGTGGTATCAACAATTGGTGCACAAGTACGCGAGCTCTGGTGTTGGGCCATTATACTCATGGCGGAGTGTGCGGAAATACAAAAGAGACTCATCGAAGGCCATGGCTATGTCGTTACCTGGCATCATTTGTGAGGCACCACAATCCTGAAGCCAAATTTTCTGCTCTTCAGATCTCATGCAATGCTCCGGTATCATTGCATAGGGATGGTCACAATGAAAAGCATTGCTGCAATTATGTGTGTGGCTTTGGTGACTATAAGGATGGTCAGCTGTGGGTTGAGGATGAAAAGGCTTTAGAGGAAGGAGCTGAAGTGGTGGAGCAATCCTATGGGAAGAAAGTCTTGCCTGGAAAATTGGCTGATATCCACTGGAACTTCATGTCGTTCTTTCCGAGAAAATTGCATGGTCCTATGCCTTGGAAAGGGAACAGGGTATCCTTGACAGGGTACACACCTGTTTTTATGGAGCGTTTGAGCTACAAGGATAGGTGCTATCTTCTCCAATGTAAGTTTCCTCTTCCGGAACCACAAGCTGAAGAAGGTGGAGAAAGGAAATGGTTAAAAATGACGTTGAAAGAGACCTCGCTGGACGACATTGCGGAGGAAGTCGACTATGCTGTGCTCGAAGCGCACCAATGGGCTCTAGAGGAGCATTTGAGTATTCGACGCCTAATTGCTGAACAGGAATGTTGCGTTTTGGACGAGCGAGTTTCATGGATCGGCCAATGAGTCGAATGGGGAAAAAGGATCAGAGACTAGAGAATGGCTGGTTAAAGCAAAAAGAACCGAGGAACAGCTCTCGAAGTTTTTGGTCAAAGCAGCTCAAGTTCAGCAAATGGTGCAAGAAAATACCGCGCTTGAGGCAGCAGAGGAGGTTGAGTTCCTGCAAACAAAAACAATTCCTACACAAGAAGCCATGCAAGAGCTGGAAAAGTGGAGGGAATCATTGTCAGACGAGGTGACATCTTTGGTTAAAGAGTTGGAGGTGGTGGAACCAACAACTCAAGAAAAGCTGGACAAATTGGCGGAAGAGCCTAATGCACCGGTGATTGAGTACGTGCCCAGTCTGGTGGTGTTTACCCGGAAGCAAGGGACAGGGAGGCGACGTGCCCGTATCTGTGCATGTGGCAATTTTATTTCGTCAACGGCAGCTACAGAATACGAAGGGCCGAGGTCCCTCAGTCGTCACTCGCTGTACGCTCCTGGTTTAGATTCAACTACATTTAGGTGTCAAGTGAGGTCCGGATATTTAAAAAAAGAAAGCCTTACAGGGATTCCATAGGATACCTCATGCCCTTATTCGCCCCTGTACCCTAGACCCTAGACCCTAAACCCCAAACCCAAAACCCTAGACCCTAGACCCTAGACCCTAAACCCTAAACCCTAAACCCTAAACCCTAAACCCCTAAGCCCTAAATCCTAAACCCTAAACCCCAAACCCTAAACCCTAAACCCCGAACCAGTAGGGACTGGTGCCCGGGCGGCGTGGTGGTGCCATTCGCGCACGGCTGGCACTCCTGTGCACCGGTCTGGTCCTGGAAGGTCCCGAAGGAGCCTCATGGAGTTTAGGGTTTAGGGTTTAGGGTTGAGGGTTGAGGGTTGAGGGTTGAGGGTTTAGGGTTGAGGGTTGAGGGTTGAGGGTTGAGGGTTAGGGTTTGGGGTTTAGGGTTTAGGGTTTTGGGGCCATGGGATGGAGGTTTAGGGTTTTTTCGAGTTTAGGGCTTCTTGTGGTTCAGGGCCTTTTGGGTTAGGGGTTAGGGGTTGTTTCTCAAGGTAGAATTTTGGGCTTTTAGGTTTGGAGGGTTCTAGGTTGCTTTACATAGGTTTCTCGGCTTAGAGAGGAGCAACAGCGTTAGGGATAATACACGGCTGCAGGCGTTATGGCGTTATAGGGCTGTGGACGGGTAGGGTTCGAGGCTTGCTTCATAAGATGGTGGAATTTCGGGGTTTAAGGATTCGGGTTTTGGGTTGGGGGAAGGGGGGGCCGGGCCGGAGGGGGGGACAAGAGGCCCAACCCTCAACTGTAAACCTCAACAAACCCTGAAATCAAACCCTATGCCCACCAACCTTCAACCTCACAAGATCCCTCACAAGGAACGGCTGGGGTGCAGGGTTTAAGTTT